CCCCCCCCCCCGTCTCCCCCCCACAAACGTACTTTAGCTATCTCAATTTTGCAGGTATAGCTAAGTATACATGTATTAGGTACTTTGGCATATAAATTAGAACTGAAAGTTGCTTATGTTTTACCACATTTATCTCTTGGCTTGTGACTTTAATAAATGTTCTCCTTCCTCCAATTATAGGTCCTATGGCAGCGTATACAAAGCTATTCATAAAGAGACAGGCCAGATCGTGGCTATTAAGCAAGTTCCTGTGGAATCAGACCTGCAGGAGATAATCAAAGAAATCTCTATAATGCAGCAATGTGACAGGTAAAAACGTGGTAGTAACTCTGGAGAGAACATGGTTTTGAATTTGCTGTGATCATTTAAATAGTTTGATGCCTAGAGTTGCATTTACTTAAATGTTTTACAGAAGGGAGTGCTTAATGGAATCACTATGCATGTGTTTGTTTTTTTCCAGAAAAAAAATATAATGAACAAGTTTGTGTTTTTGTAGCTAAACTTTTATAGTTTCTATTTCTGCATAGTTTTCTGTTTTGTTTTTTCAGTAAGCCCTTTTCAAAACTAGGAAGAAGAGGCGAGAAGGGAGAAGGTGGTGCTAGCTTTTTTTTAAAATAATGATCTCTTACTTCCTATTGAGAAAACATTTCTCCAGAGACAGTTAAGAAGAGATAATTCAATGCTTTTTAGCTTTAGAAACCTTAGGATATACAGATAGATATGTTAAAAGAGAATACTTATTTCTGTCTTATTGGTCCTTTCTTTATATCTTTAATAAATTATTCAAGCTAAGAGTAGCTAAATATGTTATTTTTGAGGAACTAAGATTTGTCAAATGCTATAGCAGGAAGTCAAGCCAACAGGCGACCGCAGAAAAGCACGTGGTTTGCTCTGAAATTCCGTGACAACATGGGTGGTCACAGTGATGGAGCGGGCTTCCCCAGTACTGTTTAGATGTGAGAGAAACCCAAACTTAGGGGCAATGCCAGCTCTAGGGAGTTGAAAGGGGAATGAGAAAGTCTTGCACTTGAAGCTGCATTCATTCTTCCGAAGCTCTTTTGGTCAACAGATCAACTTGGTACTCCTCCCCCACCCCCCCCTTTTTTTTTGGTAAAGCTTCAACATTAGGACAGGGGGAGCTACCTGCTAGGAAATTTGCCCTGGAGCCCTCAAGTCTCACAGACTTGTGAATGCAGTCATATCTCTTCTCCCTCCCTCTCTTTCTTTTATTCTCTATACACTGGTGGTTACTTTACATGAGATAAAAACCTCATATTTCTTGATTGTCTTGACCAGAGTAAGGTAGCAGGGTTGCTTTTCCTCCTCCATAAGATATATTATGGGAGCTCTTTCCAGTTGACAAATTGACACTTTGCCGCTTTTGAGCGACTACGCAGCTGTATTCCAAACAGGGTATACAAATGTCTGTATCTCTATACACTGGTGGTTACTTTACATGAGATAAAAACCTCATATTTCTTGATTGTCTTGACCAGAGTAAGGTAGCAGGGTTGCTTTTCCTCCTCCATAAGATATATTATGGGAGCTCTTTCCAGTTGACAAATTGACACTTTGCCGCTTTTGAGCGACTACGCAGCTGTATTCCAAACAGGGTATACAAGTGTCTATTAGAGAAGTGGTATTTTGAAGAGCCTGCTCTGTGCTAAGTACTGTAAGGAATACAAAGAAATACAGGGCCGAGTTCTCATCCTCTGGGAGTAGACTGGACAGGCCAGGCATATAAATGTACAGAAAATCTAGCTGAAAATACAAGATGTATAGAACATATTCCAACAGGAAGTACCTGACAGTAATTGCCTCGTAGAGGCTGTAAATACCATAGGAATTTAGGGAGGTGTGAGCAAGTGTGGTTATATGTACCTTAACAGACTTATTCATCCATGTCTTCATTAATATTCACTTATGTGGGGGTTTTCCTGCTGTCCTTGTCATTGGCATATTTCCTAAGGTTGAAGGGCTTGAAATCCTGAGAGTTAATGAAGCCCAGTTGGTTTTAGCATCTTCAGTTATTATGCAACATTACTTAACCCTGATAATAATCTAGCCAGTTAAAGTTGGTAGCTCTCAGATGGCAAATTATTTCGTTGTAATGGAATGTTTGATTTTTCTCTGAAATTCCTTGTTTGAAATCTCTCTTCAGGCTTGAAACTCCAAATTTTTTCTTTATAATAGATTGTAGTGGGTTTTTGTTTTTTCCCCCCAAACTACATGTGACATCTAGGAAAATTTCAAATAAAAAGAAGAAGATAAAATCACTTTTCCCTTTGGAGAAATAATCATTGTTAAATACTACTTGGTATACATATCCTTCCATATCTCTTTTTGGAGTTTCACTATACTTATTATCATGTAATTGCCTGTGTGTGTGTGTGTGTGTGTGTGTGTGTGTGTGTGTGTGTGAGAGAGAGAGAGAGAGAGAGAGAGAGAGGGAACAGGGAATCTCATATTATCAAGTATTCTGTAACTAAACTCCCTAATGTTGGACGTTTAGATGGTATCTAAATTATCAGTTTTATAAACAGTACTACAATGGTAATCATTTCTTTTTTAATAGCTGTAATATTTTTTTTAGAATGAATTGTAGACTTAGAAATGCTGGGTTAAAGGACCCATACATTTTTTCCACTTTTGTTACTTATTGCCCTCCAAAAAAGTTATACTAGTTTACATTCTTATCAGGAGGGTGCCCATTTTAACTATAAATATGAATACTTGCTCTTTTGAGCAGAGAAATTTTCAGGTGTTTAACAGCATGAATTAATAGAGATGTTTGAAGGTTTTTCCACTAACCTATATTGTCTCTCTCTCTCTAGCCCTCATGTAGTCAAATACTATGGCAGTTATTTTAAGAACACAGACTTGTGGATCGTTATGGAGTACTGTGGGGCTGGTTCTGTATCTGATATCATTCGATTACGAAATAAAACAGTAAGTTTTCTTCTAGAATAATGCCACTGAGCTAGTCTCTTATGACATCTTCTTTTTTCTGCCTTTTGGTGTGCTCTCCTACTACCATATCTAGAGAGATGACTGTTAGATTTTTCCCCTTTCCATGTTTTTTCCCCCCTCTTTGCTCTTTAATGTCTCTTAAATGTGGCAGTTTTGACAACCTTCCAATCCAGTGATATTTACATGTTTTGCTTATTTCATACTGAGATAAAACTGACTATCTAGTGCTTAAACAATAAATTTTAAATGTTTCAGTTTGGAGTTAGTTTTCTTCTCCTACCCATAATGTTCACAGATTAACTTCCTCTGCATCCTATTAATAAGAGAATACTTTCTGTGAAAGATTATTTGTTATTACTGTGATTACATGATAGTCACTAGGCACATATGGTTATTGAGGACTTGAAATATGGCTTGTCTGATTTGAAATGTGTTGTAAGTATTAAATACACACCAGATTTGGAAGAATTATTACAAAAAATAATGTAAAAAGTATATAATTTTTTATATTGAACTAATGTTGGAATGATAATATTTTGGACATGTATGGTTAAGTAAAATGTATTATCAAAATTAATTTGCTTGTTATTTTCTTTTTTAAATGTGGCTACTCGAAAATTAAAAGTTGTATTTATGGCTCACATATATTTCTTTTGGGCAGCGCTACCATAGTGATTAGTTCAGCTGTTTAGAATAAGGGGCCAGGAAACAAGTGACAAGCTTTGTCCTCTTTGGCCACAGAAGGTACCCCAAACTCTAGCTTGCTTCCTTGCCAATAGTGTTTGCTTGGACATTAGTGTAAGCTCTATCATTTATTAGCTCTGTGACCTTTGGCACAAATTACTTAATTTGTGCTTCAGCTTCATCATCTATAAAATGGTGATAATAATAGTACATACTTCATTTGTTAATTGTAAGTATTAAATGAGATTACAAAAAATAGTGGCTAGTATAGAATAAATGCTTAGTAATTGTTAGCTATTTTTAATGTTATTAACATAGTGCCTGGCTCATAATAGATGCTCCTTAAATATTTATTGATGGGTTAATAGTGTAGTAGTTACTGGATTCTAACATACCTTATATCATTTCATCTTCATGACACTCTTGAAGAAAGGTGATATTTTTATTTTATAGATTGAGAAACTGAGACTAAGAGAAGTTTGATTTTCTGTGCCACAGTATACTCCCTTCTGAGTGTGAGTTGTTTGTCATAAGGGGAACTGAGTGAGAACTTGTGGGTTGATTTTGTTTAGAACTGGGACTGATCAGATAAGTGTTCATCATTCAAGAAATACTTTTTTCAGGACCCTACTGTGTGTCAGGTGGCTTTCTTGGTGCTGGGGATATAGTAGTAAACAGATCAAAGACATTTTTAAATGCAGGGTATGTTTCCAATAGGGGTGACATCACATAAATAGATATACAAATAATGTATAATATGTCAGATGGTGATAATGCTGCATTATACCAATAAGGCAGGATAAAGGAATAGAGAATGAATCATCTAGGAATGGAGGGAGCTAGGGAAGGCCTCCCTGGTTTTCTGATGAGGTGACATCAGAGACAGAGAGTGCAGTAAGGGAGCAAGTCATACCGAAATCTAGATGAAGAGCATTGTAGACAGAGAGAGCAGCAGGTCAGAAAGCCCAGAAGTGGGAGTGTGCTCAGAGCGTTTGAGGAACATCAAGGAAGCCTAGATGGCTGAGACAGAATGAGCAAGGTAGAGAGTGGTAGAAGATGAAGGTAGCTGGAAACCAGCTCATGTAAGACCTTGGTGAGGACTGGCTTTGGAGTGACTGAGGAAGCCATTGGGGTTTTGAGCAGATCTGGCTTACATCTTCATTCTCTATTCCTTTATCCTGCCTTATTGGTCAATGCAGCATTATCACCATCTGACAGATTATGCATTCTTTGTATATCTATTTATGTAATGTCTTCCCTATTGGAAACATACCCTGCATTTAAAAATGCCTTTGATCTGTTTACTACTATATCCCCAGCACCAAGAAAGCCACCTGACACACAGTAGGGTCCTGAAAAAAGTATTTCTTGAATGATGAACACTTATCTGATCAGTCCCAGTTCTAAACAAAATCAACCCACAAGTTCTCACTCAGTTCCCCTTATGACAAACAACTCACACTCAGAAGGGAGTATACTGTGGCACAGAAAATATGGGATTTGGGAATAGAAAGACCTAACTTTTAGTCTTGGCTCTACTTCTTTCGAAGTGTGACTTAACCTAGTTATCAGACTTTCTGGCTTCTGTGTGGAAAATACATTGCAGAGGGTCAAGAGCAGAAGCAATGAGACTGGTTAGGAAATTATTAGGATAGTTCAGGTAGGACTTGATGGTGGCTTGGACCAGGATGATTACAGAGGATACGTTTGGATATATTTTGAAGACAGAGAAAAGCCAAGAATGGCCTCAAGGTTTGGGGCAGAACAACTGAAAGAATGAAATTGCCTTTTACTGAGAGAGAGGAGACTGGGAAGAGTAGAATAGGTTGGGTGGATGGTAAGGAGAGGGGAAGGGTAGTGGCAGAAATAAAGAATTTGAGTTTGATATATTATGCTTATGATACTTGTTAGGTATTCATTGGACATGTTGTGTAGGCAGATATATGAATCTCGTATTTGGGAAGAGATCTGGGCTGGAAATACAACTTTGGGAGTTGTTAGTGTAGCAATGGTATTGCTGTCAAATGCTGTTTACAGGCTGAATAAGATCTTATATTTGTATTCTAGGAAAGGAGTTTGGATCTTTTTTTTTTTCCTTTTTCAAATGTCCTGATGTAAACTAAAGGATTTTGATTTCTTATTCTTTTTTAGTTAACAGAAGATGAAATAGCTACAATATTACAATCAACGCTTAAGGGACTGGAATACCTTCATTTTATGAGAAAAATACACCGAGATATCAAGGCAGGAAATATTTTGCTAAATACAGAAGGACATGCAAAACTTGCAGATTTCGGGGTAGCAGGTCAACTTACAGTAAGTAAAACTGTTACTTGTTGCTCTGGCCAGTGTTGTTAAGTGGTTAGAGCAGGGGGTCCTCAAACTTTTTAAACAGGGGGCCAGTTCACTGTCCCTCAGACCGTTGGAGGGCCGGACTATAGTTTAAAAAAAAACTATGAACAAATTCCTATGCACACTGCACATACCTTATTTTGAAGTAAAAAAACAAAACGGGAACAAATACAATATTTGTATTTGCATGTGGCCCGCGGGCCGTAGTTTGAGGACCCCTGGGTTAGAGTGTTGGCCTATGCACCAAAGGATTTCAGGTTCAATTCCTGATCAAGGGCATGTACCTGGATTGCAGATTCAACCCCCAGCCCAGGTCTGGGGTGAGTACAGGAGGCAACCAATCGATGTATCTCTCTCACATTAATGCCGGCAGGGGAGGGCTGTTAGGGGCGATCAGGCCAGCAGGGCAGGGCATTTGGGGGCAATCAGGCCGGCAGGGCAGGGCAATTGGGGGCGATCAGGCTGGCAGGGGAGGGCAGTTGGGTGGGACCAGGCCAGTAGAGGAGGGCAGTTAGGGGTGATCAGACCAGCAGGGGAGGGCAGTTGGGGGCTACTGGGCCGGCAGGGAGGGCAGTTGGGGGGGAACAGGCCTGCAGGGGATGGCAGTTGGGGATGACCAGGCTTTCAGGGTAGGGAGGGCAGTTGAGGCGGACCAGGCCTGCAGGGGCCTGGTCCCCCCCCAACTGCCCTCCCCTGCAGGCCTGATCGCCCACAACTGCCCTCCCCTGCTGGCCATCTTGTGGTGGCCATCTTGTGCAATGGCTTGACTGTCTATTTGCATATTACCTCTTTATTATAAAGAATTATTATTTTTTGTGTTTTAGTAACTGAGAATCTATTATGTCTCTAGGTCATTTGAATTTTTTTGTGACTTGCTGGGTCATGCCTTGAGTATGGTTTTTATATGTATTTCAGGTGTAAGACAGTTCTTATTGTTGAAAAAGTCTTTTTTTTTTTCATAGTTTTGATGCTTAGTGTTGATCTCTCTCCTTTCTATTTTAGGATACTATGGCCAAGCGAAATACAGTCATAGGAACACCATTTTGGATGGCTCCAGAAGTGATTCAGGAAATTGGGTACAACTGTGTGGCGGACATCTGGTCATTGGGAATAACTGCCATAGAAATGGCTGAAGGGAAGCCCCCATATGCCGATATCCATCCAATGAGGGTAAGGAAATGGATGGGAAACCAGTGGAGTGGTTAGTTACTGGTCATCGTTAGAAAGTTTGTTAAATGACTTACTTGGTTAGGTACCAAATGACAAATGAATTAATTATATGTTATTAAATGTTAGTCTGGACTCCAGATGATACACTTCCACTAGTTGTAGTCTCTAATTACTTAAAGTATAATTTACCCCTCTTCATTCCAGAGGCTGTATCGATAGCCCTTGGCAGGACATAGGCCACGGAAATGCTTGGTGTGACTTGTGCAATGTATATTTTTTTAGTTGAGCTGCTCACATTTTAATATAACATTAACTGGCGCTTCTCCGTTATACAGGGCATGGGCTTTCCACTTCATCAGTCTCCACAGTTCCCTGTCTACCAAGTATCAGTTGTCACATACTGCAGTGTTTTCTCTAACGTTTGTCTTATAGTACAATTTGTCTTATAGTATCATTTGTTGGATAGTAATGGTAAGAGGAAAGCAAACTATTTTTTTGAACGCCTGTCACTAACACCCAGCCTGGTTTATGTGTTGTCTTATTCCTGCCTGGCCCTTGCAGGTATTTAAATTTGTAAGTTTTGGTTTGTAGATCACCACCCTCCTTCATCTGGAGCAGTGGTTCTCAACCTTCCTAATGCCGCGACCCTTTAATACAGTTCCTCATGTTGTGGTGACCCCCAACCATAAAATTATTTTCGTTGCTACTTCATAACTGTAATTTTGCTACTGTTATGAATCATAATGTAAATATCTGATATGCAGGATGTATTTTCATTGTTACAAATTGAACATAATTAAAGCATAGTGATTAATCACAAAAACAATATGTAATTATATATGTGTTTTCCAATGGTCTTAGGCGACCCCTGTGAAAGGGTCGTTCGACCCCCAAAGGGGTCACGACCCACAGGGCAGTGATGGTGAACCTTTTGAGCTCGGCGTGTCAGCATTTTGAAAAACCCTAACTTAACTCTGGTGCCGTGTCACATATAGAAATTTTTTGATATTTGCAACCATAGTAAAACAAAGATTTATATTTTTGATATTTATTTTATATATTTAAATGCCATTTAACAAAGAAAAATCAACCAAAAAAATGAGTTCACGTGTCACCTCTGGCACTCGTGTCATAGGTTCGCCATCACTGCTCTAGAGTGTTAAGGACCCATAGATTTACTCTCCACCAGAACACCCTGAGGGGCTTCCAGGCTTTACCACCACCACCCACAGGACCCCTCACCACAGCACTGTTATAAGACCTTCACCCTTCCTTGGGCTTTATGGTCTTTATACCTCCCAACCCAGCTCCTTCTCTTCTCTGATTAATTAGTTCTTCTATTGAAAGACTTAACAGTTTTTTAAAAAAGTATTCATGGGCCCCAAGATAAGTTCCCCTCTCTTTTGGGAGGTGCAGAAGTGGGGAAGGGTAGGATTATTTACTGGTTATATTTTTAGATTTAAAGACTATAATTTAAGCTGATTATTGCAAAGAGTTTTTTTGTGTGTGTTTTTTAAACTGTGGCTCTTTTAGTGGAAATTCAACTAACTGCAATGTAGTGGGCCAATTTTTTTTTTAAGTATGTTGAATTGGTTTGGTTTGAAAGGGAATGACTCCCTTATGATTTTGGGGACTTCTGAGTTTATGGTCTCCTTGCAGTAACTAGTATAGCCAGTGGTGGTGGTACCTTTAGGAAGGAGGGAAATTTGACAGCTCTGCGGCTGAGGTTTTATCTTTAGGATATCGATGCTCTTAGGTCTTGCCTTTTTACTTTGAAAGGCAATGTACTGTGGTTAACAAAAATTTTAAAAGCTTGGTGGGGACTGGCCAGTGTAACTCAGTTGGTTAGGAGTCGTCCCGTGCACCAGAAGGTTGCTGGTTCATTTCCTGGTCAGGACACATGCCTGGGTTGCAGGCTCGATCCCCAGTACATCAGTGTTTCTCTCTCTGCCTTTCCCTTGCTCTCTCTCTAAAAATCAATTTTTAAAAAAATATATTTTTAAAAAGTTTGGTGGATATTGTGAGGTTTGGGGGACAAGGATACATATGAAAGAGGGAGAAGGTGAGGGCAGGAAGGGGGAAGGAGAGAGTGATTTATATCAAGTTCTTTAATTGTCAGACTTACTTTGAATACTTAGACTTTTGTTGGAATTTGGGTGGGCTCTTTAGTGGATAAAAGAAAAATCATTTTATCAAACTTCAAATGTATTTCCAGTTACATTTTAATTGAAGCATCACTTTCATTTTACTTGTTTTTTTTTTTTTAACCAGGCAATCTTTATGATTCCTACCAACCCTCCTCCCACATTCCGAAAGCCAGAACTATGGTCAGATAGCTTCATGGATTTTGTGAAGCAGTGTCTTGTAAAGAGCCCTGAGCATAGAGCCACAGCCACTCAACTCCTACAGGTATGAATCACCCTGAGGTGCTCCCTCTGTATTTCATTCACATGCTAACCAAAAGATGCTTTTAACCTACCTACACCTGTGTGGAGAGGGGAACAAAATATAAGACATTTCCTGCTTCTCAGGAGGTTTGGTCCTAACTGAGTCAAAAAGACATAGAAAAGAATGTTAAGTCATTGAACAAGACACTATGGCAAGAAAATATAGGGCTCTATGGGATTAGAGAATGGGAATTGACATTTAGTGAGCACCTGAAGATTACGTGATATAATATGTATAACTTTGAACAATGCTTTACACATATTACAGATAGTACGATATGGATTTGACAAATATTTGCTGTTATTATTAGCTGGGCCAATAGTTTTCAACCATATGAGTCCCCATATATACAGGGTATTCAAAAAATGTATACACACTTTAACAGCTGATAGCTTAATTTTGAAAATGAAATGGTTTTTAGTAAACACTGCCTTTATAATTATTCAAAGTGTATACATTTTTTGGGACAACCTGTATATATGTACTTTTTAAACACTCTTTACTCTTCTGGAATGAAACTCATAGATAATAAACCTGTTTATGCCCATAATTTTAAAAGAATCAGTATAATGTCTATGATATAATGGAGACATATAAAGATAATAATTTATAATAAAATAACATAGTTATCAATATAGAAATGCTCCAGCTTTACTCAGCTTACAGGCATAATGAAATAGTTAGAGACCTGTACCTATCATCATGAAAGAATTTAGATGTAAGAGCAGTAATAAGAACAGAAACCATTCCATTCACGATATACAGGAATATGAATGGGTGGGCACTTGCATAAAATAATGGTAAGTAATAGCAGGCCAGACTTATTTGTATATGATACGAGGAGGGAAATTATCTTATAAGCTTTCCAATTGGAAAGAACAGCAAATATGATATTCTTGCAAATGAGCTGGGTCTTGTATCTAAGTGTAGTGGCAAATTCTTCTCCTGCCTGGCTGGGGTTCTGATAAAGTTTTATGGAAAAGATATCTCCTGTGTTATGAGCCCACCACATGTTGAGGCATACTTTCAATCTGTAGAGTACTTGGAGACCATATCCTTTCATGGGTGGTGGGGAATAGAGAAGGGATTAAAAAGAGAAACATTGGGGACAATATCAGAATAAGTTTGGAAAAACAACAGACAATCCCCCGCGCCAAAAGAATTTCCACATGTAACTTTCACATGTAGAAAGATAGATTTCACATAGATTTCTTTTTTAAAGAAATCTTTATTATCGAAAGTATTACATGTCCCCGTTTGTCCCCCATTGACCCCTTCTAGCCCGCCCCACCTTCACCACCCTATTGTCTGTGTCCATGGGTTATGCATATATGCATATAAGTTCTTTGGTTGATCTCTTCCCACCCATCCACCCACCTTTCACAGAGATTTCTTACAATTGTGCTATAAACAACAAATATGTAAGATGGTATTAATATTTATTTGTTTTATTTTTAAAAAATTAAATGCATTGGGTGGCATTGATTAATAGGATCATATAGGTTTCAAGTGTACATTTCTATGATATAAGATCTGTATACTGTGTGTCCACTACCCAAAGTCAAACCATCTTCTGACCCCGTTCACCCACTCTATTCTCTTCCCTCTGGTAACCACCACCCTATTGTCTGTGTCCATGAGTTCCAGTTTTATATCCTACATATGAATGAAATCATATGGTTTTTAGCTTTTTCTGACTGACTTATTTCACTTAGAATAATACTCTCAAGGTCTGTCCATGTTGTTGCAAGTGGCAGTATTTTGTCTTTTTTTATGGCTGAGTTTTCCATAGTAGATATGTACTACATCTTCTTTATCCAATCCTCTATCGAAGGACACTTTGGTTGTTGGTATTAATATTAAAAAACTTCATTTTTATAAATGGAATTTAGTAATATCCCTGTGTTTCAAGTGTCTTTGTGACTAATTTTAGTATTTCTGCAGTAACTACACTTTTACATTAAATTTGTTTTTACCTAAATAAATAGTTGGAAATGCTGTAGTACACTGAATAGGAAGAATAAGCAGGATGAGTAAATTATTCAGTAATTTCTAAACAATGTCTTTATTCCATTTAAACCCCTACTCCAAACTTACCTCCCAAATTACTAGACCTTTTGCTTATCTCTGGAAAAAGTTTTCAGTATTATTTATCAGGGTGTACATGTACTCGGAGACATTGAAAGATGTGCAGAATGTGCTACAGTGTGTTGTTGTGCCAGAGGTTCCACTTTGCAGGATTGTGGTGTCCCTGTCCTCCCATGCTGTTTGTGTTCTTCAGACATTGTAACTAGAAGCTCCCAACATTACAAAATTTCCTCCAGGAGGTTGAGAATCTCTAGATCTGACACAGAGAAAGGGCGGTGCAGTTTTAGCCAGGCCAAAAAGGGTGGGCAAAGCCTGACTACGCATCTGCTCGGTTATAAAGTGAGTGTGGGTTAGCTGTTGTCCAAAGCAAAAAGAGAAAGATTAGATTCAGCGACTGATTCAACAAATACCACATTGTATGCGGGTAGTAACAGGTGGCTCTACTACTTACAGTCAACATAAAACGTATAAATACGTTTCCCGCATACAATGTGATACTATCAAGTACCTGCTGTGTGCCAGGCACTGTTTTGGCACTGGTGCTTATAAACTGTCCCCAGCGTTTGTCACTTTCTTGCTTAAGCACCCATTTGTCAAGAGCGCCAAAGGAGTGTCGATACTACGGGACTTAATTAATGAAGCCATGGATGTGAAACTGAAACGCCAGGAAGCCCAGCAGCGGGAGGTGGAAAACGAGGATGAAGAAAACTCGGTGAGTGGCAGGCTTGGCTTTGGGCCTCGGGCATTAATGCTCGTTATTTCATGATTGCTAAGCCAGGTAAGACTTAGATGTTGGATCAGCCTGGAGCTGGAGACCCTTCTTACAGGACTCTGTCCTGTCCTGGACCAAGGCTTGCTTCATCTGTGCGTGCTCTTCTCATAGTGCTTCCTAAGACACTTACACATTTTATCTGTTATTCAACGCACCTTTTTATTCTGCAAAGAGAATGCTCTGGTCTGACGCTTGGTTTTTCTGTGTCCTTTTGGGGAACCTAGGATTCATACTAAATATGTAGATTTTACACTTATAGACTCCCTCACAACCCTGAGATTCCAAGGGTGTGCATAGATCTTTAGATATATGTTGCAAAACTCTATTAAGAAGGGGAGAAGAAGGGAGTCCTTTAGATACACTACTCTGACTTGGGTAAATTTATGATCTTTGGTTAAATAAGAGTGTTCCCAGTTCTACAAAGTGGGTTTAGAATCTGAGTAAGTGTCAAATCCAGAAATATTTGCACCAAGATGAGTAATAGTAATTCAGAAAACTCACTTTCGTTCCAATTAGCTCCAATTTGAGAGTCTGTTCTTTTACAGGAGGAGGATGAATTGGATTCTGGCACCATGGTTCGAGCAGCAGGTGATGAGATGGGCACTGTCCGTGTAGCCAGCACCATGAGTGATGGAGCCAATACCATGATTGAGCACGACGGAACATTGCTGTCACAGCTAGGCACCATGGTGATCAATGCAGAGGATGAGGAAGAGGAAGGAACTATGAAAAGTAAGGCTCTGATCAAATATAGTAGCTTCTCAGGCAGACCTTATACATTCCAGAGAAGACAGGTTCACGTGGTCCACTCAGGCTCAGTCTTGAGGCCTCATATTGCTGCAACCAAAGGAGTAGAAACATGGGGGTTGTGGTGAGGGCACGGGTTTGGGAAAAGGGAAAGCTGGCATGTGAGTCAGAGGCAAGAAAGCATCAGTGGCCGTTCTCTCATTGAATGATGTCATTTCCCTCCTTTTCCTGAATCTGTGGAGGCAAGCACATGCATTGATCTGATGCATAATTCTGAGCTATTGAAATTCTGAGCTGTTGACTGTATATATCTTATCTTTTTTTTCATAATACTCTGGGTGTCTAACCCAAGTTTACCAATACTCAGCCAATCTATTCAGAATGACTGTACACACTTAAAAGTCCTATCAAATCCCTTTGAGTTTAAGCCCATCGCTACTTCTTATCCCACTGATCCTTTTTTGCCTGAGGCTTGACACCTGAGCTCAGCTCCCATCAGAATGCCATCCTCTCCTACCTTCTTTAGTTATTTCCTTTCTCCTTACTCTGCATTACAGACCAAGTCACAGAAGAAAGGAATTTGAGAGTATAAAATGCTAGTAATTTAGTTATATAAGTACGATTTAGCCTAAATTTTGCATAGGTTTAAAGCAGTAAGTCTCTTCATCTTTTCTTCATCATCTTTTTTTTTTTATTCCTCTAAATCAGGGATTAGCAATCTATGGTCCACATCCAAAATGTGGCATGCCACCTCGTTTTGATAAAGTTTTATTGGAACATAGCCATGTCCATTCACTTACATAGTGTCTATGACTGCTTTTGTGCTATAGAAGCAGAGTTGAGTATTGGTGACTAAGACCACGGGGCTCCCAAATCCTGCAATTTTTGCTGTCCGGTTCTTTACAGACCGAAAAAGTTCTCTAACCCCTCCCCTAGACCTTCTGTTTGTGATTGATTAATTCATTTAATAAATTTTTCTCCAGTGCCTATCGTATCCCAGGTACTTTGTAGATGCTAAAAATGCAACAGGAAATGAAGAAACAGACCCTGCCCTGAAGGAACTCATTGTCTAGTGTGGGGGACAGACCGGTAATTATACTTCAGTCCATGAAATGAGTTCTAAAATAGAGGTAATATAGGGTGTTGTCGAAGCAGAGTGGAAGAATATTTAGTTTAGACTGTGAATTACTGAAGAATTCCTGGAGGAAAAAGGCAAGCTGGTTGGCAAGTGAGTAGTGTGGGTTGGAGATGGTCCAGCAAAGGGAACAACGCTCACAAATTCGAGGAGGCAAGAGAAAGGCTAGTGAGTTCAGGGGAACTGCAGCTGGTTTATTGTGGCTGAGACAGTTGCAGGGCTGTGGTTCTTAGGGATTTCTCTCTGTGTTTCACCTTTCAGGTATTTGTATTTATAACCAACCCTTTGGGGTTTTCTTTCTTTATTTTTTTATTTCAGAGAGGAAGGGAGAGGGATAGAGAGATAGAAACATAAATGATGAGAGAGAATCATTGATTGGCTGCCTCTTACATGCCCCCCACTGGGGATCAAGTCTGCAACTGGGCATGTGCCCTGACTGGGAATCGAACCATGACCTCCAGGTGACACTCAACCACTGAGCCATGCTGGCCGGGCAACCCTTTGTTTTTGAAGGGAAAAGGTTTTTTTGTGTGTGTTTGTTTTGTTTTGTTTTGTGGCCACGGCTTGCTCATCATCTGTGTTTGGCCTCTGACCAGAACCACACAGATAGGAAAGAGTAGTAATACTATTAGTGGATATGTAACTCATATAACTTTTCTGGAATGTAGTATGTATCAAGAATTTGAAAAGTTCAAACCTTTGACTCAGTAAATTTCACTTCTAGGACTCTGGTCCAAGGAAATAATTGAAGATATAAGCAAATTATATTCAAGAACTTTTTCAAATATGTTACTTAAAATTGTTAAAAAAAAAAAAGGCTGGAATTTAATAAATGTTTAGTAGAAAATGGTTAGTCAAATAAACTATGATACAACCATAGGATGGAATACTACACCATACAAAAATATTAAAAATCCTGTTTTGGGGGAAATATTTAGAAGAAATCGCCCAGACAGTGTGGCTCAGTGGTTGAGTGTTGACCTATGAACCAGGAGGTCATGGTTCAATTCCCTGTCAGGTCGCATGCCCAGGTTTTAGGCCCACTCCCCAGTAAGGGGGCTTGCTGGAGGCAGCTGATCAATGATTCTCTCTCATCATTGCTGTTTCTATCTCTCCCTCTTTCTCTCTGAAATCAATAAAAATATATTAAAAAAGGAAAAAGAAGGAAACAAAATTATAGCATGACCCAGTTTTACCAGAGTAAAAAAAAATAAATTAACATGTTAATATGTGCATAGAAAAATGACTGGAAAAAAAACCTGACTGAATAAAAAAGCTGGAGAGAAATAAACCACATATTAAAAGTACTGTTGCTCAGTGTTTGAGCATTAAGTCACAGTTTGATCCCCAGTAGGGAGTGTGTAGGAGGCAGCCAATCGATTCTCTCTCATAATTGATGTTCCTATCTGTCTCTCCCTTTCCCTTCCTCTCTCTGAAATCAATAAAAACATATATATTTTTAAAGTAGCTATTATTGGTAATAGGATTATAGGTCTTTAAATTTTTCTTCCAAAATTTTTTCTAGCATTTATCAGAAAAATAAAAAACCATCAAAAATACTTCTGATATCATGGTGTGTCCTTTAAATTAGGACTTTGAACTATGATTGCCTTAAGAATCCTTTCTCCTCCCTTCTTCCTCCTCTCACTGCTTTTTATGGCCTTAAAATGAATATTTACAAAGTGACATTTGTCACTCCCTGCTAGTCTCTTTAAGTTCTTATTGTGTTTTAGGGAATGTTTTATCCCCTAAACTCAAGGTTGAAGCACTCTAGATATATTGTGCGTGGCGTTACATAAATTGTCAAATGAATGCTATGAACTAAATTTAGTTTTTTCTTTTTTCTAAGTAGCCATGTGACTTGTTAGGAAGGTTTGTTTTGCAGTAATAAGCTGCTGACACTCTAGTTCTTTTCTTTGACTCTGAGTGCCATATCTTCTTCTTGTTTGAAGGGCTTTAATTATGCAGATGATTATAATCACTGTGTAATATATCTAGGCTGACCCATTAACATGTGTTGTGCATGCACGGGTTATGGAAAATCTGCCTTTTTTAATGTAAAGAATTAATTTTGTTCCAAATGTAATTTTCATATTTCAAGTGCTAATTAATTCAATGGGTTGTTGTGCAGTTTCTGAGCTTGGATAGTTTTAGCATGCCTAATGAGAAAATGCATCTTTTATTATAGTCATGATGAAAAAAACATTAAAACCTCAACAGTCACAGCTGAGTGATATTAAATATACTTAGTTCACAAACAATCTGCTGCAGGTCTTATAATACAGTTTTTGAGTCACAAGTTTGACAGATTTACCACTTATTTTGAGATCTTTGCCTCTTACTATTTTAGGAGTTATTTAAACTTTCATTATGGAAAATTAAAAACATGCACAATTGCACAATAATATCATGACTCCAATGGACCTATTGCCCCGTTTCATAAATGATTAACTCATTGTCCATCATATTTTAGGCTCCCTCTCCCAAGGAAAATAACAAGCTGAATTAACTTAAAGCAAATCTCAAGCATCATATCATTCCTTCAGAACTGATTTTTAAACATTTAAATGAGTCTTTTTGACTAAGCCTGACCCAGATACTATCTGTGTTATGTTGGATAATTCACTTTCCTTGTATGAACTTCAGTGCCCTAATCAGTAAAATTTTAATTTTATTATTATTATTTTATTCATTTTAAAATTTTTATTGAACTTATTGGGGTGACATTGGTAATAAAATTACATAGGTTTTAGGTGTACACTTTTATAATACCTATTGTAGATTGTAGATTGTATTGTGTGTTCACCACCCAAAGTCAAGTCTCCTTCCATCACCATTTATCCCCCCTTTGACCTCTTCTACCTCCCCCACCAACCTTTCCCTCTGGTATTCACCATACTGTGTCTGTGTCTGTGAGTTTTTGGGTTGTGTGTTTTTGGTTTTTTTTTGCTTAATCCCTTTATCTTTTTCACCCAGTCCCCCAGGACTCTTCCCCTCTAACAGCTGTCAGTTCTCTGTATTTATGAGTCTGTTTCTATTTTGTTTGGTTATTTTGTTCATTAGATTTCACATATAAGTGAAATTATATGGTATTTGTCTTTCTCTGGGTGACTTATTTCACTTAGCATAATGCTCTCCAGGTCCATCCATGCTGTCACAAAAGGTAAGATTTCCTTTCTTACCTTACAATGGAGTAGTAGTCTGTTGTGTAAATGTACCGCAACTTTTTTATCCACTCATCTACTGATGGGCAGTAGGCCTACTTCCAAATCTTGGCTATTGCAGTGAGCATTGGGGTATATACATTCTTTTGAATTAGTGTTTGTGGTCTTTTTTTTTTTTAAATATATATTCCTAGAAGTGGAATCGCTGGGTCAAAAGGCTAAAGAATTTTTAAACTTACATATTTTCCTTGTCTTTTTAAAAAAATATAATTTTATTGATTTTTTACAGAGAGGAATGAGAGGGACAGAGAGTTAGAAACATCGATGAGAGAGAAACATTGATCAGCTGCCTCCTGCACACCCCCCATTGGGGATGTGCCCACAACCAAGGTACATGCCCTTGACCAGAACCGAACCCGGACCCTTCAGTCCGCAGGCTGACACTCTATCCACTGAGCCAAACCAGTCAGGGCTTTCCTTGTCTTTTATAGCTCTAATAGTCCACATGTTTATAAAAATCATATCACTCATGGCTAATAGGTAGGCATCTTTGTTGGGGCCCTTAGGGGTAGTTCTCTCCAGAGCAGTCTTTAGATTATTTCTCATTTCTGCAGTATGCTTGTGGTACAGCCCAGGAATTATATTTCTAGAAGTTGACTCTTTCCATCCCTAAGCCATTCCTAAGCCATGTCCTTGAGTCTTGGCTCCTACTTTTATGCTGGGAATTGAGTTCTACCTCGATGTGTTTTGGCTCCTGTCTTTATCCCAATTCTTATTCTCACATCAGTATTCAAACTAGTTGGTTTGGCTTTACCAATGGGCCACCTTG